CCCCTACTTCATCCTGCAGCGGAGGAAGGGGCACGGCGGCGATGGAGGCGGCGGCGGGCTGGCGGGTAAGGAAGGGCCTGGCACTGGCAGGCAGCTCGGCTCCCCACCCTGCCCCAGCTCGGGCTCTGGGCCCGGCACGGCTGCTCCCTGCTGCTGGCAGGGCCCGTGGGGCATCGTGCCCGCCCTCCCCCGGGGCATCAGCTGCTGCCCGGCTCCTGGCAGCAGCCGCGGAGCTAGGGCCGCCCGTCGGGGAGCGGGGAAGGGCTCTTGTTTGTCGGGCTGGGAGCTGGGGCAGCCCCGGGGCAGGTGCTGGGGCGCTCTGCCAAGGGAGCCCGAGAAACGCTCCACCTGGCGCTGAGCAGGGCATCTTCCTCTCATCTTTGCTGCTGTCAGTCCTTGCTGGCGTGGCAAGAACGGCAGAGGCTTCCTTCAGCACCACCATAGCAGTGCCCGCTGCTCCCACAGCTAGAGTGGTTTGTGCCCGTTCCTTTCTTCCCCCTGCCTCCGCTAGCTGGTTTGAAAAAATGATCACAATTGCAGATGAATCCCAGGGATCAGTCATAAGGCCGCGTTGGACCCTGTTTTGTTCTTTGGGTGCTCTCCATCCAGCCTGTGTGCTCTTCTTGCAAGGGCTGCCTTTTCCTTCCTCGGGTAATTGGACCTGGCTTGGTCCCTGTTTGGCCTATATCAATGAGTAGCAGGTCTCTGAAGCACTGGGAGGTTTATATGCCAGGGATTGTCTTATTTACCAATAGTATTCATGTAAACTTTGTAGTGTGTGTGTGTGTGTGTGTGTGTGTGTGTATGTATACATATGTGTGTATATGTGCATGTGTGTGTATACACACCCCCCCTTTGTATATGCGTGTGTGCAGCAGACAAGTTCCTTTGGGTAAACGTGGTATCTTTATTAGACCGAGTAGTTGGGGAAAATTGTTCTTTGCAAGCTTTTGGGCACAAACACCATTGTTCAGGAATAGAGAGAGAGAGAGAATTCGGCAAGCCCTACCCATTACTTATCTATAGATGCAGAGTGAGTGGATCTCCTTGACAAATACTAGATTGACTTGCATAGATGACCCTGATTATAAGACCCCCCAATAATTAGGCTTTATATATGGGAAATTTACAAATTTGTTAGTTTTCTAGGTGCAGAATCTAATTACTGGAGGATTGCCTTAAATTTGTCCCTTTCCCACTGCTACAGCAAGGAAAATAAATCTGGGGGGTTAAGCAGCTCTCTTGCCCTCTGACCCCCACCCCCCAACTGGTTTTACTTGCAGCCCCTTTATCTCCTCCTTCCTTACTGTCAGACCTGGCTCTCCCTGAGCACGTGGAAGCAAGAAGCAAATTTAAAAACAGTGACCTTGAAATCAGTATACTTGTAGTAATTTGCATATAGTACCAATAGGGTTAGTTCATGCAGAATTGATGCATTTTATCTTTTTTTTTTAACTGCTGCAAGTTATAGGACAGGTATTCCATAAACACACTTTTAAGTAGCACTTTGGCACCTACTTATTTAGAGTACAAACTATGCATGATACTATTCCAAAACCAAAAGTCTCATGATTTACCATATGGCTCATTGGTCTGACCTGGGCTCATTGGCCTGGGCCCTGAAAGGCTGTTAAAAGAGTCAACAGCCTTTCAAGCCATGGTGACCCCATAGTTTAGTGTGTGTGTGTGCGCGTGTGTGTACTCCAGATTAACTCCCCTCAGCACTCCCTCCCTCCCTCTGTGTGCTAGTTAGCTGACAAATATTTAAGGCTGGTGAAGAAACAGGAATCATTGGAAATGGGAAAGAAAAGCACAGCTGAGCTGTGGGAATGAAGAGGACATGGAAATATATTCAGTTTAGTGACTGACCATGACTTGAAAAAGAGTCATCGGTGAGGGAGACTGCACTCAATGAGCACTACTATATAACTTATTCAGATGGATAGCAGTAACCTGTCCTTGTAGTAGGGTCCTGGCAGCTTGTCTACCCAATATGGGCCATGTGTTTTGTAGTCCTGCTCTGTGTTGGCTGCATGTAATTAGCTTCCTAGTTGGTTTCCATTACAGAGCATATACAGCTTTTAGCAGCCGTTCAGAGATAGACAATGAGGTTCCCTTGTATGCAAATGTAAATGAGGGGAAGTCTGCGTGCACATTTGGTGGTAGGCCCTGGCTAGCTGCCAGATAATTTTGTAGACTATGAAAATTGTTACTATTTGAAAATAATTTATAGTCTAATAAAGCATTTTTTTCAAGTATACAGCAACCCTCTGTGTATAGCCAGGGCTGCTGCTTTCACCCATCAGTATTGTATATTTATTAATCTACTTATTTCCTCCCTAGAAAGCAACTGAAATACTGCTTCTATTTGGTCATGGTAACCTTCCAGCAGTTGCTCCATATTGGCTGCTAGCCTATCCGCTAATGAAAATTACAGACAAGAGTGACAGTTCTATTTTAAATCCCTTTTCCCCCTCAGCAGTCTGTTTCCAAAGCATTTAATGAAGAACTCTTTGCATGCTCTACTTGGGCATTACACAATTGGTTATGATTCCTTCCACTATCCTAATAGAATGATTAAGGGATTGGGAAATATACCTATCATGAAATACTTGAGAAGCTGAATCACTTTAGCTTAACAAATGGAAGGTTAAAGGGTGACTTGATCACACACTCTAAGGCTAGGGACAGAAATACACATAAACCAGTATAAGTGATTGGAAACCAGTTCAAATCTGTAATACAACAGAAGTTCAGTGCACATGAGCTGCTTTCAAAATGGCTGAAACTTGTTTAAGATAATCCTGGATGGATGTAGTATCAGATGTAACCTATTTAGGTTAAATTGGTTTATTGAACTTCTGTCCCAGATCCCCTCCACATTCAAGTTAACTCGCAGTGCCCCAGCATCTCAGGATGCTTTGCACTCCCTGTCCCCAAAATCTGCTTTGCAGGGTGGGTAGGCTAGCCTTGATCAAAGCGGTCTGCTCCAGCCAGGCAGGGAAGTATGCTCTTGTGCCCCCCAGCTTCTGGCCTGGGCCACTGCAGACATGTGGCTGCATTTCCAAAATCAAAAGCACATGCCTGTCTGCTTGCTTATCGGTTCAATCTAGGTTGCTTAGACTAATCTGCGAAGATTGAATCGATTCAGCCTTAGGCTTTTTAACTGTCTTTACTTAGCCTCAGTGATCATAGGGAAGTGAAATTTGGTAATAGAAAGGATCTTCAGTCTAGTAGACAACAAGATAGAAAGATCTAGGGCTAGAAGCTGAAGCTGGACAGGTTTAGACTACAAATAAGGCACCATTTTTAGCCTCTGGAATGCTTTATCAAGGGTTATAATGGATTCTCTCATTAGTGGAAATCTTAAAATCAAGGCTGGAGTTTTTTTCTGTCGCATTCTAAAAGGCACTAATCCAGGGAAGCTCTCTAGTTTGTGTTATACAGGGGTTATGGCAAGGGTAATCAGCTATGTAATTAGTAAGGATCCTAGTTTTCTCTGCTAAAAAAAATCGTACATTCTCTGATTAAAACCCCTAAAATCTGTGTTTTTCCATGATTAAAATAAAATTCCCTATAGAGAGATGGATAGATATTTCTCTATCCATTGAACACAATGTTTTATTAACATATTTACATTTTAAAGCAATTTGGAAGCCTATCAGTGGCTCAATCACTATAATAAATACATTCTAAATACCTATACCTTTTGGGGTTTGACTTTTTTGGGTTTTTTATCATGGAAAATCAGAGCTCTCACTGCCCCTTTCACTCACCAGGATGCAGGTCCAGTTGAAGCTGTCCCTGCCCCCCTGCCCTCCATCTCCCCCCCACTGCAGGGGCCTCAATCTGCTCCACACTCCATGCACCTTCTGTCTCCCACCCCTTCCCCCACAGCAGACTTACCAGCCAGACACTGCTCTTCACACTGAGGGACT